TATCTAGCCTCCTGTCACTTCATCCCTCTTCTGTCCAAATATTCTCCTCAGCACCCTGTTCTCAAACACCCTCATTCTATGTTCCTCCCTTAATGTCAGAGACCAAGTTTCACACCCATACAAATGTACAGACAAATTAATATACGATCTGGCTTCAGGGCTGAAGAGTAAAGAGAGTGGAAATATAGACACACATCTAGGGCGGGGGAAGCCCTGTGTGAATAGCTGAGTACGTCATCACAACTGGTTCTGTATTCTGCAGTCCACATAGTACATTTTATCCTTCATTCAGTTATGAGTAATTTGGTTTTAACGTCTTCAATGAACCACATTTATTGAGCTGACTTTAAAATATCCGAAGTAGTAACCCATTGACATTTTAATGATATGGCTAGTCAGTTACAATTTAGCTACGAAGAAGAAATCTAGAAAAAAAAAATAAAAAAGTAATACAAAGAGTTCTGCCTTCTTGGATGCAACGCCGTGCAGTCCGTTGAAACTCAAGCGACGTTTCGAGGGAATAAATCGCCTCCATCTTCAGGTTCGAAAAATAAGCCCAACAAGACACCAGTATGAAAGCAGGTGGCAAGACTTCCGTCTATCAGACATAGATTCATAAAATGGGACAAAGCCTGCAAATAGGTGATCAATTCTGAATTAAGTATCTACATATGCTTCAGTTTCCTTACGTCCATTAAAACTTAAAGAGCCAATGGGGCTAGATTTCGAGATTTCGATTCTAATGTAGGATTTAACGTTCTTGCAACGGTGGTTATGAAGATATATAAAGCCGTGTAGTCAACCGAAGTTTCCGAAGACAATGTTACTTCCGTCTTTAGGATCCAAGAACAAACCAAGCAGGAAATCAGCCCGAAGCAGGTAGCAGTTCGAATTTAACTCCAACATGCGCTTACTCAGCCATACAGTTAAAGGGGATTCGCTGCTTCTACCCGTCATAAATTCTTTCGGCCTTAATATATAGCTTTGGCATGGCAGCTCTTGCCTCGGTTCCACTTGATTTTCAATTCTTCCTTCTCCTCTTGGGAATCCAAGGTTACACGAGGCAAAAAAATAATAAACGGTGAAAGCGACTGAGACAATACATCCAGCTTCCAAACACAGATGATGCACCTGGAACAGAACCGCTATTCTTCATGAGAAAGAGCACACATACCCAGACTCACGATTTCAGTGTCTCATCTGACTTGATAATAATAGTATTTTCAATACTATGTTGAGAATATTATTATTATTATTATTATGTTTTCTTGTCGTCTTGTTTCTGACTATATTAACACTGGTCTTTCGGCTGTTAAAAATTGAAATTATTATTGTTTGCAGGGGCGTTGACGTATTCGGGGCCAGGAATAATCTCCTTAATTGTTTTTATAATACGTAATAATTGTTATTATTATTAGTTGCACGTACATAAACTATAATTAAATTGAAATTACTGTTATTATTATTTCTAATATTTCTACTTTACATTTCTCAATTCTCAATGGCAACTTAGATTTGTGTTAATGAAATCATTAATATTGTTATTACTTTGTTTGTTTATTTACTTCTCTGCATTAATGTGCTTTTCCTCCATTGCTTACCTTTAATTTACCTTCGACTTTATATTACATCTGTCCATAATGTAATTACCAATATCTACACTGTGCTGTGTTTGTAATTGGTCTTCTAGCTCTTGACTTGCCACATAAATACTATAGAATTGAATTATTATTATTATTATTATTATTAATTAAATATTTATGTTTATTTTCACTTCTAAATAACAGTTAGTTTTATGATAATGAAATTATTATTATTATTGTTATTATTATCATTTATTTGCTTGTTTGTTTACTTTACTTCAT